CCAAATCTGTAACACATGTGGTGTCAGAGGTCTATCCTCCCCTTCCACTGGGCCCACTCTCTCACATAGACCACTGTCACTGGGACCCTGACCCTGCATGTGCCCCCACTAGAACCACCCCTCAGACCCCCAAACCTCCTTCTGGGTCCACACGCTGACTCCTCTTACTGTCCCTCCCTTGAGACCAGAAATCTTTCACTCTCCTCTTTTCCTTATTCCACACATCCAAGTTACGGTTTCATCCTGTTGATACTATCTTTGAAATTTTTCCTTTTCCATTCCTCCCACAAGTGTCCCTGTCCCAGCTCTCCGAGCAACCCTCAGGGCTGTAGCACCAGCTTCAGCCTGGTGACCCTACTCACATTCATTCCTTAAATTCCACCGGTCTCCACATGGGAGCCAGTGAGCCCTCTCATAATCACAGTTAGCCCATTCACTTCTTGTATCTCCTCCAAGCTACTACTCATTATCCCACAAGTATTTATTTACCACCTATGAAGTGCAAGTATTGTTTTGAGGACTGGCAATATAGCAGAGAACGCAACAGTGTTCTGCCTTCATGGAGCTACTAGTCTGAGGTAAAGGCATGGCTTGGCAGGGCATACCACGAAACTCTTGCTTGCCTCCTGGTCTGCTGGCTTACAGATAATTATACCTTATTTGCTGTTCTTTTGCTTCAGGCTCCCTGCCTTTGCCTGGGGTCTGCTGGGACTATCTCTTCCCCACCTCTGTCCTCCTTGGCCAGATCCCCCACATTCAGTTCATCTGGTATACTTTACAGAGGTGATCTCCAGGATAATCCAGTCCCAAACCTTAGCTCTGTGCATACTATCTTGCTTCAGAACTCATCTTAAAATGGAAACAACGACACATACCATATAGGTTAGTTGTGAAAATTAAGTTCAGTCTATAAAAATGCTTAGATACTTTAGGTACATGACAAATGGTAAGACTATAATAAACATTAACTGTCATTACTTTTATTTTAGCTTTGTTATGGTACCACTCATCTCGGTGTTTTAAGCATACCTTATTGTCTTTGTATCCTAGTGACTAACCTAACTCAGGACATGGTAGGGAGTTACTAAGTAAGTGTTGAGGGAAAGATAGAAAGATCAGCTGATTTGGGTCTGTGGCTTGGGTTTCCTGTGACAAGCAGGATTGTGGAGGAATAACAACCTCAAAGGCTCCCACTGCTATCTTTTTTTTTTTTTTACCAAGTATCTAATTGTGTACTGTTCTCATTGTGTGCACAAGAGCTGCAAAGGATTGAGCAAGAATGGAGAATTAAGTTGGGTTGAACTGAACTGGAGACCAACTATTTACATTCCTTTATTCATTGACTCGTGGGGTCAAGACTTAGACCCTGCAATGACTACCCTAAAGCAGCCATTACCTTCAACCCCCCAGCCCTTTGCCCCACTGCATACCTCCCATTTGCCCTGGCTCCACACTACCATGTTCCCCTCAAAAATGTTTCAACTGAAGCCTAGGAAGCAAAAGGGGTGCTCCAGGAAAAGGGGAAGGGGTGGAGAGGGGTTAGCACCTCCCTTCTTCCTTTGCTGAGATCAAAGCCAGTGTGTTCCCTTGAAGGTCGGCTAGCCCCTTTCATCTCCTGCCCCACCTGCCTGGATGGGACTACAGTGTGCCCATTTCCTTTTCTCCTGGAGCTGGAGGGCAGTTCCAGGGTGGAGCCATGAGCTATTTCTAGTGCTAGCCAAATCCCTCCACCTCAACATCTTCTTTGCGTACCATGATCATGTTTCTCTTCCCCCTCAACAATCAGTAACTAGTCGCAAGAAACTGAGAAGTCAGTTTCTCTGCTGGCTCTAGGCTAACCCAATGGCCGAAGCAAGTGGGGAGGCCAGAAGGCTTGGTCTGGAAGAAGGAACAGGCTCTTCTTTCTACATCTCAGCCCTGAGCACTTTGCCCCGCATTCCTCAGAGAATAGAGGGGACATGGTTAAGCAAGGGCCTCTTGCCCCCAGGAGAGAAGAATTAACATTTATCAGAGCTCTACTATATCCCAGGCTCCAAGTAAGGGACTTTGATAGATACTATCTCCTAACAGCCCAAACAGATCAGCATTCATCATCCCTGGGGTGGAAATGACGAAACAGAGATTAACAAGCTTACCCCAGGCACACAGCTAAATCCAGGTGCCAAATTCCAGCTGTCCCTGACCCCAACACCAGTGCTCTTTCCACCCTGTCACGTTGCCTCCAAAGCCCAGGGAAGCTGTTTGTGCTAAGGTGATTCTGAATTATTCCACACAATTAACCAGACAGCTAGCTAAACCTTTGGCAAATTAAATTAATTCAACATACATTTAAGCAAAAACTGGGGTGACTTGAGTTTGACTCTGTGGGCTATGCAAAGAGAATATGACAGAGTTTGTAGTCTAGCAGAGAGGATATAACAAGTGAAAACGTAGAACACAGGAACAGGGACTTTAAATACAGCCTATCGTTTCACTTGGCCTCACCCAAGCAAAGCCTCCAAGACTGGAAGAAGCCAGCTGCCATGCATAATTGGCTTCCAACACAGGGACTTTCTTAAACCATCTGAGTCCCCCCAGGCCAAGAATAGTGCAACTTAGCAGGACCTGAGAAAAAGCTCATTTGAATGGCAAAGGTAGAGAGAAGTTTGGGAACCCAGTCTTGGCTGTTACCTGTAGTCAGTCTGCTTCAGCAGAGAATGGGTTTTTTGGTGACTTTGTCCAATGTGTGGCTCAATCAGTTAAAGCCAGGTGCAAATGAAGCCAGGATAAGAGGCTTAATCCTAGTAGAGCTGTTTTGTCACATGGCAGGCAGTTCTGGCCCCAGATGACCAAGTGGTTAGCAGCCCTGTGTTCTTTGCCAAAGGGGAGTAAAGTAGGAAAGTGTGGGCAATCACATAGTAGGCGTTCAAGTGAGAACGTGCTGTTCCAAACCCTTGGCTCCAGACAAACAGCTTACAGCATTCCTTGCTGACCAAGGGTCTGTAGTATCATGGTAGCTTTGCACGTGGAGACAGCAGTAACTCCTTTTATATCTCGGCTAGGCACCCTGCCTCATATTTTTTTAGTACTGTGATGCCAAGAGTGTGGGTCTCCCCCAAAGAGCTGCTTTGATGCAGCTGCCTGTATTCTGTGACTCTAAGCCTGTCTTTCCATTCCCATGAGATGAGCACATCATTTGACACTTCTCAGGAGAAGAGGCCACCACACCTGTTTGAAACCTTCTCTTCTACAACTTGAACTGAGGGGCCCTCCTTGGCTAAAAATAAATGCTTCTCAAGTTTCTTAAGCCATAGTCAGGGGGTGGTTTCTGGATGCCCCCCAACCCTAGGTAACCCTGTTTTTCTGTTTCATACAGGGATTTGATAGAGACAATCTGTACTCAAGGTAGCTCCCATCTCCATAATTTAGGGTGTCAGGAATCGTAGAGAAACACAGAGTAATACTCTGGCGAGGACTAAGTGCCTGTCCCTTTCTGGGTCAATTCACATGCATGGCATGAGAAGCACTGGCACAATCTTGGGAATTTTCCTTTAAATTAAACGTGTAAGATATTCTTTCATGGTATGCAAAAGCTATCTCCCCATGAAATTAATCTCATGGATTCCACAAAGACATGTTAGAATCTCGAGATTGTTCCACAACATCTCCCACGGTGCCAGATGTACATCCAGACTCCTAACAAGGATAATGTAATGACAGTAGTAATAACTTTGGGTTCTTTGAGTGGCATCAAAGTCATGGCATAGCAAGATCCCTGTTTTCATGCCTGCTATACTGTTTGAGGTTTTGTTTTATTTTGTTTTCAGGGAATTTGGATTCCCTGGTTTACTTACAACCTAACAATGTCACTATTGAAACACATCGTGTTAAGGACCATATGCTCTCTCTCCAGAGAGTGCACACAAATACTATTTCTGGTTTTTTTTTTTTTAAAAAAAAAAAAAAAAAAAAAAAAAAAAAAAAAAATTTTTTTTTTTTTTTAAAAAAAAAAAAAAAAAAAAAAACAGAAATCGTAGCTTTGCATATTTCCCATTCAAAGACTGATCCCATTTGAATGATTCACTTTGTCACAGAGTGTTTTTCCCCAAGTGGGCCCTAACAGAAGCTAAAGCAGATATCTTGACTTACCAAAGGACACAAGGGGTCATCTAGTGAGCTAGAAATAGAATTCGCAAGCCTTTATTTTGATTCCTTGAATCTAAAAACATAAATTTCACTACAGAGAAAGGAAAACTTACGTTGAGTCTTGGTAGACTCATTTGCCATTCCTGGAGCAGGGAATCCAAGGCAACAGGAGCTAATGGGCTGTGAGACCAAGAGATTAATAAAACCCGGGGACTGCCTGCCTTAAGAGAGCCCCTGTCCAGTGGAGAGAAGAGAGGGTAGTCACTGCTGAAAGTATCTATCCAGTGCTTATGAATACCTAGAGGACCCTTCATGCAGCTGGCACTGTGACCTGCACATGACATGCTAGCAAGCACTGTCTGTCTGAATGGGGGCCGTAAGAGAGGCACCGGCAGAATGCTGTGGAGACTGGCAGAGAACGAAGGACAGCTTTGTGAAGGAGGTGACATTTGAGCTGTGCCTGAAAGATGGGGAGGTTTTTCCACAGGCAGCATGGATTGGGGGTGCCGGAAAGCAATGAGTTCTAAGTAAGAACAAAGCCTGGAGATAGCTCAGTGGGCTAGCATGCTACAGTAGAGGGAGCATGAAGAGCTATGGTCAGAGCAAAAAAAAAAAAAAAAAAAAAAAAAAAAAAAAAAACCAA